CGTGCGTGCGTGCGTGTGTATGTGTGTGCGTGCGTGCGTGCGTGCGGGCGTGCGGGCGTGTGTATGTGTGTGTGTGTGTGTGTATGTGCGTGTGTGCGTGTGTGCGTGCGTGCGTGTGTGCACTCGTTGGTGTGCGTGCGTGTGTGCACTCGTTGGTGTGCGTGCGTGTCACGATCTCAAGGGTACCATACATGCATAACGGCTCACAGAACGGCATAATTTTCCCCTACAAAAATAATTTATTAAAATATAACGCCGGGCTCTAGCTTGTATCATCTGTACAATCAAAATTTGCTCTCATTAGTTTGAATTTAATTATTTTGCTTGATTTTTCGTGCAAGGAAATAAATCATCAGCCCTTTATATATCTACGCAGCTGCCACGAGCGCCCTCTCGCGACGCGATAGAATATTTACCCCTGCAAATAATTATTCGCATGTTTTCATTTCTTAGCAAAAATAAATAATCTATATTTAATGCTAGCAAAGCACGGCTGATCGTTTATTCTGCATTGAGCATTTTTTCAAGCGTTTTCATCGCATAGTTTGCTTTCGGTAAATTACGTTTCCATGTACCGTGGGCGAAGGTTAGTGGCGTACCCTCACTAAGATACATAATGTTAGTCAAACTGGGCATGCATGCACGGGCGAGTCGCACTCATTTATACAGCTATCGCACGCAGTCACATAATCCCACACGCACGGACACTTGCCAGTATAATGACGTGTGTCTCAATCAATGCTTAAAGGCAATTTCATTCGCTCGTGTCGTTGCCCTGTCGCCTACATTCGCGGGCCGACAGTCGCCGCTTCTAGTTCAAAGTGAAATATCGCATTCAGTCCAGGCGTTGCATTAATACCAGCTCTAATGAGCAACACGCACGCAATCAAACCGCTGGGACCACTTCTCACTTCGTTTTGATTAGACTAGTTGCACATGTAGGTTTCGTGGCTGGTGCTCAGGCGCTAAATTGGCTGTCAGACATTCTTTTCATGATCGGTTCTCAATTCTTATACGGTGTATATCGATATTATTAATTATTGGTATTAGTATTGTGATTCCGTATACGGCGGTTCGATTAGTACAGTCCAAACTCCATATGACGGACAGCTAAAGGAAACGACAAAATTTCCTCTACGGATAACTGATGGCTCGATTGACGTGGATTTGCTCTCTAGCTCCCACTCAAAGCGATTACTAATAGTGTCCTTTATGTAGATAAGTGTTCACTCCGGGGCGGTGACCGCTTAAATTTAGTTCACATGACGGTATCATTTCGACTTAAAAGTCGATCCAATAATATTGTCGAATTCGACATATATAGTAAAGTATCAGGTTATACAAACTGTAATAACACGTATACGTAAATCTATAATATTTTGATATTGAGCAAATCTATGATATTGAAAGTCGATCTGATTGAAACATATATAGTAAAGTATCAGGTTATACGAACTGTAATAACACGTATACGCAAATCTATATCTTCACCATCTTAGCAGCCCTTTACGATCAATGCCACAAGATACAACGACGGTAAACGATGAAGAAAAGTGATACAATCTAGAAAAATATTGATTAGAACGTAGCATTCACGATAAGAAACCTCAGAGAGAAACTTTAGCTGCTTGGGGAGATGGAAAAAGCATTTGTTATTTCTCTAAAGCTCCCAGGGACAGACCTATAGATCATAGATGACAACATTCACACTGCGTATATAATATATATATATATATATATATATATA